TAATATCATAAATTAAAATTAATATCAAATAAAAGTGAAAGAAGAATAATATTTTTAAATAGATTGTATTAAATTAGTTAGAGAAATATTAGTAAATCTTATAATTAGTTATGGAAATAATACAATCCTAAAATTATATTTGGAAAGTATCCGGTGTATGTATCCAAACCCATTAATCTATCCAATTTTAAAAGATCCAATTACAAATTTTGGGTAATTTTTTGAAATTGACCCGACCCGGAAACACTTTTTGTACTTCTCTTTTACTAATATAGGGATTAATTCATCACATTGTATGTACTGTATATCTAATAATTGCTAAGATATAAATGAATCATGCAGGTGATCTTGACATCATTGGTGTATGAGAAACAAGAGCGTCTAAGAATTATAATGAAAATGCACGGGCTAGGCGATGGTCCATATTGGATGATTTCTTATGCCTATTTTCTCACCATATCTATGTTGTATGTTGCTTCTTTGGTGGGCTTCGGGTCTGCTATAGGGCTTAAGTACTTCCGGCTCAACGACTATAGCATTCAGTTCGTTTTCTATTTTATCTACTTAAATCTGCAAATCTCCATTGCCTTTCTACTTTCTTCGATATTCTCAAAGGTTAAGACTGTAACAGGTACTAACATATAATCACATCTCAAAGGTTAAGGTCAAAAACATGCTGTCAGGGTTGAAATTTGAATGGGTTATCTCTATTTTTTAATTTATGGCTTAACTGTAGTCGTTGCTTACATACTGGTGTACGGAACTGGGCTCTTGGGAAACTTTCTTTTCCAACCACTGCTTGAAAACCAATCAGCCTCTGGTAGGTCAAAAACTTTTAGAAAAAACCACAAAAAATGCTCATGTTTATTATTGCTTATTTACTAGTCCTATATACAAATGTGTTTAGTTACGTACATTTGCAGAAGAATTGATTATTTGCTTGGAGTTGTATCCGGGATTTTCTCTATACCGAGGGTTGTATGAGTTCTCGCAATACGCCTCCAGGGGAAACGGGATGACGTGGCAAGATCTCAACGATAGTAGAATGGGTGAAGTTTTCTGTATCATGTCTGTAGAGTGGTTCCTTGCTCTCATTGTAGCCTACTATATCGATCAGGTTTTCTCATCTGGAAAGTCCCCTTTCTTTTTCTTGGTTAACCCTTTCAAGAAACCTTCTTCCCTACCAAGGAAGCCTACTGTGCAAAGGCTGGATTCTAAAAAAGTCTTCATAGATATGGAAAAACCTGATGTCACTCAAGAGGTATCTCGAACAAGTCAAGTTTCTTTTTATTTTGTTTCTTTCCGTGTTTCTCTTATTTCAAAACCCTTCTGATCAACAATTTAAAAAAAAAAAAAAAAAAAAAAAAATTAGAGGGAAAAGGTCCAAAAGTTGAGGAATGAAGGTAGCACAGGGCATGCGATCTTGTGCGACAATCTCAAAAAAGTGTATCCAAGTAGAGATGGTAACCCGCCAAAAATGGCAGTAAGAGGGCTGTATCTAAGTGTGCCTTCAGGAGAATGCTTCGGCATGCTTGGACCTAATGGTGCTGGCAAAACTTCCTTCATCAGTATGGTTAGTTTTTATCAGTATGCATGGTTAGTTTTTGGGAAACAAATTAACGTTTCTAAGTATCAAATTAATGATATATTGCATTTTCTTATGTTGGCGCTAGATGACGGGGCTCCTCAGACCTTCATCTGGAACATCCTTGGTTCAGGGTCTGGACATATGCAAGGATATGAATAAAGTTTACACGAGCATGGGCGTATGCCCACAGCACGAGTAAATAATTAACCGTCTCGATAAATTTTGTATTTAGTTTTTCATGACAATGCAAATAATGAGCAACTTTGTGTTTATGCCATTCTTGGTTTCAGCTTGCTTTGGGAGACGCTAACAGCAAGGGAACATCTTCTCTTTTACGGGAGACTTAAAAATATAAAGGGCTCTGACCTAACACATGTATATATATGTACTTTAACACCTTGATAATTTTATTTGTTGTCGATTCCTAATTAAAGACAATGATAACTAATGGATCTATATATGATCATCTGAAGGCTGTGGAAGAA